ACTACAGCCTGCTGGCCAATGGCTCGACGGCTCAACACCAGCCGGAGGCTCCACCCACTGTAGAAAAAGTACATCACAGGTATGGTTGCCTGAGAGAGCCGAGCCACGCTGTCAGGCGAGGCACTGGCAGGTTCTGGCGAAAAGCTAGACGCACTGAGTTTCCAGCAATGAAGCGGAGAAACAATTCGAAGGCAAATAACACGGAAAAGAGTATCTGATGTCAGCAAACCAAGTGCACTCGTTTCAGCACGTGTCGCTATGGGTGGATGCGGCTTGATTAAAGAAACAGAAGATGCACCTCAAAGGCTGCCCACATGCCACGCTCACCGCCCTGGTTGGCATCCACCTCTATGCCCATGTAGACCTCGTATGACCCGTACGCATTTGAGCGCCGTATTTTGCGGAACTGTTTCGCTTCTTGGGTGATCGAAACATCAAGCCGCCAACAGCATTGCTAGTGATGATGAAGGCAATCGAGAGCAGAAACGGACGACTGCGAACAACCTCAGAGGGGGTGTTCAGCACATGGATTTGAAGATGCACCAATCAAACCAAACGCTTCACGACCTTGAGAAGCCGTTTGCGTGTGGCAAGGCTGCAGACCTCCGTCTGACATGCACTCAGATGATCGTTTTGCACACTGGCACCAATGACTGCAGTGTGCCTTCCTGAGGCACCCGGGGTCTTGCTGCTGTCGCTCCACGTCGGCTGCTGCCTCCTCCTTCCCTTGAACTTGCATTGCAATATTGGCTTGTTCCTGTCGAGAGCTGGGAGATCAAGAAGCTCGGAAAAACTTCGAAGGTCAATGCTCCGCCGGGATCACCGCCAGGGAAAGCCTCCTTCTACCAGCTGCATGCCGCTGACGTGCCTCGGAGCTCTATTCTTCGCTGGCGGTTGCAAACAAGCGGTCTGTGTCTTGGACGTGGTCGTCATCCTTTCGGTCCTCTTCGCTGCCTCTCGAAAGTTCACACAACTAAACTCCGAACTGAGAAAGAGGAGTTATAGTGACTTCAGAAAAGGCTCTTTCGCTTGAGCTCGAGCTTCCAGAGCTAAAGGATGCCGACCGCCGGCTGATAGACACCCCCCACTGGTTGTCTGAACCTGGCCACCGGCTATGACTGGACTCCCCGGTCCCCGTCCCGCATAACGTGTTGATAAATCCTGTGGCGCTCTTGCAGCTGAGGCAAAGGACGTCCGCTGTTCTCCGGCTGCCCTGGTATCGGGAGCACCGATTGCAGGCCTAGGCAACACACATGCACACACACACACACACACACACACACACTCTGACTGACTGTGACGATTGGTCACTTCTGACCAGTGGTGTTGTGGCTCTAGTCTGTTGCATCGTTACTTTTTCCCCAACAGCGCAAGCTCTGGGGTCTTCAGCCGAAATGAGTTCCGGCAGGTTCCTGAGCGGTTCTGGGGGCCCGTTCCGGCAGGTTGTGGGGCAGGTTCCGAGGCAGGTTTTGGGCGGGTTGCGGCGGGTTCCGGGGTGGTTCCGGTGCGGGTTCCGGCAAGTTCCGGGGCGGTTCCGGTAGGTTTCGAGGCGGTTCGGGACAGGTTCAAGCAGGGTGCGGTTTTGGGAGCAGGTTCCGGCAGGTTCGTTCGACGGGTTCAGGGCGGGTCGGATGGGTTCCAGTTGTGAATGCAGGAACATGGCTGCCATGTTGCTTGACTCGCCTGCAGGCTTGGGCCTGCTTTCTATATTCTACATGTTATGGAAAGGTTTCGGTACAGCAACGAGAAGAAACGCATGCCCCTGAACCCGAAAATCCTACTGCAGATGCTTTACTTTGGTCTCCAAGGTCCCATTTTTCATGTTTCAAGGCCTGGAAAGCGCATTTAGGAGTTGCTTCAGCTGGTGTTCCTGGCCCCATTCCCCCACCCGAAATCGAGTTCCCCAACCCTCCAACCAACTCCAAACGAATTTCCCCGAGGCCTCCTAGACGCATTTGGCAGTGGTTTCAACAAATCTGGAGCTCCATTCCGTCAATAAACCCGAGATTCGTACTGCAAATGCTTTAGTTACCAGGCAACCCCAAATGCATGCTTCAAGGCCTGGAAAGCGCATTTAGGAGCTTCTTCAGCTTTGTGGGCGTTCCTGGCCCCATACCCACATCGAAATCGAGTCCAACACCAAATGCATTTCTCGAGGAAACGCATTTTGCTTGCGTTTCAGCACATCTGAGGCTCAATGCCGTCCTTAAACCCGAAAATCCTTAAACGCGAGAATCCTACTGCAGATGCTTTATTTTGGTCTCCAAGGCCACAACATGCACGCTTCAAGGCTTGGAAACAGCATTGAGCAGCTGCTTCAGCTTTGCTGGTGTTCCTGGTCCTATTCCCCGAACCGAAATCGAGTTCCCCGACACGCATGTGGGCTTCTTTTCAACAGATATGAGGCTCGATGCCTTAAACCCGAAAATCCTACTGCACATACTTTACTTTGCAGGCTTAAATCGCATTTAGGAGTTGCTTCAGCTGGTGTTCCTGGCCCCATTCCCCGACCCGAAATCGAGTTCCCCAACCCTCCAACCAACCCCAAACGCATTTTCCCGAGGCCTCCTAGACGCATTTGGCAGTGGTTTCAACAAATCTGGAGCTCCATCCCGTCAATAAACCCGGAATTTGTGCTGCAAGTGCTTTAGTTACCAGGGACCCCCAAATGCATGCTTCAAGGCCTGGAAAGCGCATTTAGGAGCTTCTTCAGCTTTGTGGGCGTTCCTGGCCCCATACCCACAGCGAATTCGAGTCCAACACCAAATGCATTTCTCGAGGAAACGCATTTTGCTTGCGTTTCAACACTTCTGAGGCTCAATGCCGTCCTTAAACCCGAAAATCCTTAAACGCGAGAATCCTACTGCAGATGATTTATTTTGGTCTCCAAGGCCACAACATGCACCCTGCAAGGCTTGGAAACCGCATTGAGCAGCTGCTTCAGCTTTGCTGGTGTTCCTGGTCCTATTCCCCGAACCGAAATCGAGTTCCCCGACACGCATGTGGGCTTCTTTTCAACAGATATGAGGCTCGATGCCTTAAACCCGAAAATCCTACTGCACATACTTTACTTTGCAGGCTTAAATCGCATTTAGGAGTTGCTTCAGCTGGTGTTCCTGGCCCCATTCCCCGACCCGAAATCGAGTTCCCCAACCCTCCAACCAACCCCAAACGCATTTTCCCGAGGCCCCCTAGACGCATTTGGCAGTGGTTTCAACAAATCTGGAGCTCCGTTCCGTCAATAAACCCGAAATTCGTGCTGCAAATGCTTTAGTTACCAGGGAACCCCATGCTTCAAGGCTTGGAAAGCGCATTTAGGAGCTTCTTCAGCTTTGTGGGCGTTCCTGGCCCCATACCCACAGCGAAATCGAGTCCAACACCATATGCATTTCCCGAGGCCTGCTAAACGCACTTTGCCTGCGTTTCAGCACATCTGAGGCTCAATGCCGTCCTTAAACCCGAAAATCTTTAAACCGAAATCCTACTGCAGATGCTTTGTTTTGGTCTCCAAGGCCACAACATGCACGCTTCAAGGCTTGGACACTCGAATCCGAATCTTCTTTTGTTCAATGACCCCATCTACAGCTCTGTCAGCTTTTCTGGCCCCTGCATGTGAACCCAACGACGGCCATTCCGCTGTTGGGGTTACTCAATGGGATTATTTGCTTCTGCTTTCCAATCTCGGTTTTGCTTCAAACAGAGGACTCCAGTCTCATACATGTTGACAGAAAAAGCTGGCAAGAAAGGACATGCAACTGAACAGCTGCACTCACTGCTGCACAACCACATGAACATGTGACTGTCGAGCAAGCATCCGTTGCGCTCAAGCACTGCCTGAAAACCTGGTTCTTTTCACGACGAAAGCTAGGTAAAGATGCCCAAGCTACGACTCATCGTCCGTGGCACATCGTCAACTTTCAGGTGCAGGCAACTGTGTCCAGTTTCCCTTCCAGTCATCTCCCAGAGCTTTTAGTTGGCATGGCTAGGGAATGACCGCCATGCCCCCTCAACGTTAGTGATTGTGACGTTACCTAGCCTTTCGGAACAGGGTACACACACTCACTGTTTCAGGCTTCTGACAGATTCGATGCTGCAGTTTCTTCAGAACCATGGCAAATACCGCCTGAACAAGAAACTGGGCCTGCTAGAGAAACATCGAACGGAGCTGCCCAGGAAGGGTCAAGTCCCCAAAGCTTTGGGATGTTAAGTGTAGTCAAGTCGAGGAGATGATGGGACAAGGAGAAACCAAGCGCGCGGTTTGGGCCTAACCTCGTTGGCACATGAATGGAAACAGGTTGGCTGTGTAATCGAATATGGGCTCGCGATGGAAGAAAGCCTTTCCTTGACAACTTGACGCCCCCAGCCAAAGCTGCAACCACAAGGTCCGGGCTTGTCTCTGCCATGACATCTGAGCCTTTGGAAGGCTGGACGCCGAAGCTGCCTCCAATCAGTGTGCACCGAAGAAGGAACTTGGAATCTGAAAGTCAGCTGAGCCTCTGCAGCTTTGCACAGTGCAAGACACTCATGTCGACTGGACTTGAACCACAATGTTGCGGCAGAACCCTTGCTCTTTGCCAAGCTTGCGAAGGTTCAAGGGTCGTGAGGAATCCATCACATGCCGTCTTCACACTCGCGTCGCCTCAGTCGGTCGGGTGAAACAAACAATCCCAACTTGCATGCACATGTACGATCATGTACGGATGAGACACGTTGGCGATGATGCCTTCTTCCGGTTCAGTACGAGCTGTGCCCGTTGAAATTGCGGAGCCATGCCGAATCCGACACCTTTCATCTTGCTCAGATACAACCCGGCCCTCACTCACTGTTGTCGACAAAGCGGAAGCTGACCTCACGAGCAAACAAAGCTTGCAGCAACTGGGGCAAGACCTTTCGGGAAGGGCTGGCGATCACAACACACTGCACCCGCATGCTCCTCAAAACCTATCAATGACAAGCGCCAAACAAAATCCAGGATGCAACAACCGACCTCGAAGAACTCCTCATGCACCAGAAGAACCCACCTCCTGCGACACAGTCTGAGACAACAGTCGCGGTCGCGGGCCAGACGCTCAGAGTAGTGCTCATGTGGAGCCTTGGCCAGCTCCTCTTCCTGCGCGAGTTCAGTTCCGCCACGCTTTGAGGACAGTAAACACACACAAGTGCGCGCGAACGGACTGGACTCTCGCACTCTGTCCGCGGCGTTCCACCAGCTGTCGCTTTCAATCTCAGAAGACGGTACAGCATGTCTTGCTCGGCCGAAGCCAATGCCTCAAATCATTCGCAGTGACTTCGTAGATCTTTGAAGCCATGAGGACACTTGGGCCAGCGGCGCTTCGTCTCCGCGTCGTAGACCGTGTAGAACTTCCTGCACCGCAGAGCCGCAGAGCAATGCGTCCACTCAAAGCGCCTTCGCCAGGGCCGCGGTCTTTAGCACCGGCTCGCCGAGGATGAAGAGCTTCGGCCCAATCGGCTCTGGCCTGGGCCACTGGGCCCCGAGAAGACCGAAGAGCACAGACGCAGAAAGACCGGATCATCGCAGGCGATGGACAGATCCATCACCATGAGCATCGGCTTGCACATCATGTCCCGTCGCGTCGCGCCCTGCCGGCTCAGAATCCAACTGTGAGAAGCGAGTCTCAACCCAACCTCTGCAGGTGTCTGAGATTGCCCCCAAGCTGGTCCACGCGCGCTGCCCTTTTGGTCGAGCCGGCTGAAGTCCTCTCCACCACCCCCATCCGCACATACCGTGCACATCAACTGGAAGCAGAGAGCCTCCCCGTCCAAGGTGAGTGTGAAGCCATCCAGCTCTATCTTGAGACTCGGACTCTGCCTGCGCAACACCGGTTCTAGGCTTGTCCCGAAGGAACTCAAACTGTTGCTGAGCTGGTTGCGACGAGCAGTCACCCGACAAAGACGCCGGGGCCCTTGGCGCAACGAGCGCTTTGCTTGCATGGGACTTCCTCGTGCCATCTCGTGCCTCAGTCGTTCATACAGCTCCGGAAAAATTGGAGTCGGAACTGCGAGCAGTGATGTGCCAGAGTCGACCACGGCCTCCCCAGGGCCAGCAATGTGCTGCATCAGGGCTGCATCCACCTACAGCACCAGGCACCTTGCAGCCCTCGTCGCAGAAAGGCAGCTTCTCACCGTCGATCCAGATCGCCTTGACGAGACAAACACTTGGCATCACAGCATTCGCGTTGCATCAGCTCCAGTCTGCCTGGATCTTCAGGAGCCAGTGGCCCAATTCCGGGTCAAGCACAGGACTCCAGCTCACCTGGAGCTCTCTGTCGACCAAAACGGGGCTGCGCAACCCCAATCCTGCCTCTTCTTGTAAGTGCTCTTCAGCCCAGCCACCCATCGTAATTTGGCTCGTCTGTCACGCAAGCTGAGCATAGGTCGCTGACATGAAAAGGATGTTTAGGAAGTAGTTTCTGGACTTCTTTCTGCTTCCCGTCCTCCTCGTTGTGAGTCGCCAGGAAGATGCCAAAGGTTTTGCTGAAGTCGCTCCCACGCCTTAGCGTCTGTACGCGTGACTCAACACCCTAAACCTCTCCCACTCCAGTCCGCCAGGTTCCAGGCGCACTTGTCAGGCCGGAGGCGACCTGAAAGCATCACGAGAATGCCCTCGCTGGCCATCACTGTGCACGGCCAAGCCCAAGCATGTCCGATTGGAGCCTGCAGAAAATTGAAAGCTGATGTCTGCGACAGGCTTTCCAACCCCAGGCCCAGGACACCGTCGAAGACGAAATCCTGCTGAAAGCGGAAGAGTCGAGCAACTGTAGACAACACATTTTGCATGACGGTTTTGCCGATTGCTTGCGTTTCCTTGAAAGGATCCGCGGACATGTCCTTGGAAGAATCTCAGGCAAGGCAGACAAACGCATCCACAGACCGCCGAGTCGCAATGCAAAGTGCAGATTGCTGGGGCTACGATCCTTCTGTCTTGACCGGTATGACGGCGACCCTGTATTATGATGGATGTTGTGATGCCATCAAGCGATGCAGCTATCCCAGAGGCTCTTGAGTACAACTCAATTCTCTGCAATCCCAGCCTTGGCCTTGGTGTCATCACACAACCGACAACACAACAGTTAGTTCTTGAGTTCGAGTCACTACCATTTGTCATTGTAGCAGCTACAGCAAAGCCACAAATGGACGTGTGCCGAGATGCAGTTGCTGCAATGAAGCGCATGCTGACACAGCTTTCGCCGCCTTGGCCTGCCCGAACAAAAGATTCAACACTGCGCATCGCACCACAGCTGAGCCGATGCCTGAAACCGGCACGTTTGCGCTGCTCTTATCCATGCCCGGACCGCGCTGCCCGAAGCATAGGTCATCCTGGCCATGAGGCGTACACTGCTTAAGGTCCTAAAAAGAAACTAAGGCATGCGTGCATCAGCGTGAAAAGTGATCGACCTCCATGAACACACCAGTCACCTCACCAGTGCCGAAGGACACCTCGGAAGGCGAGTCACGGGTCTCGGGACATGAAGGACGTCACACAGTGCAGCCGTAGTCATTCAGAGCTCTCTGCGGTGATCTGGTCACGAGCTTCACCGGATTTGACCTCATCTTTAGGGGGGCTACCGTCTGGCTTCGACCGACCGAGGTCCAAGGCTGACACCACGCGGCCGTCCCAGTCAATGTCTCGCGCAGTACTTGAGGAGCTCCGCCTGTACCTGGAGGTTCTGTCGGTCCGACATAACCTAGCAAAATCCGTGCACCGTACTTTAAACACCTTGCCTGCGATGCACTTTGCAGGTGGCAGTGTGGCAATACCTTCTGCGATGAGGGACAGGCATTGGAAAAAGACAAGCAAACGCAGACCGGGTCGTGTCGTCGTGTCGTCGCGTCGGGTCGCGCACGAGCTTGGCAGTATCAAGTGCCCACTCCCTGTGTCGAAGACGACGGTGAAGGGCTTCGGCCTTAGAGGCCGGGAGAGCGGAGCAAAGCCCCAGCGCCCGAGGGGCTCTATTTCCTTTTAGCGATGCCTTTTCATCGTATTCCTAGCGTCTTGGAACAGGTGTCCATGCGCAAAGCAGAGAGCAACAAACGGCTTGGACCACAACAAGTAACGACTCTCATCTCATCGCCAATGGGCGACACCAGGGCTGTTAACTCGCCATCAATCATCAAGAGAAAGGGTAAACAAGAATCGGCGGCAGTACATCTTGTTCGCGAGTCATGCAAAAGAACTCTTCGGCAGGTCTGGGACTCACGACCTCAGAATCTTGGAGCGAGGCGGATTGCCCACCATGATGGTGCCATAGTACGCACTCTTGTAATGCACCACGTCGTTGATGATGTCAATTTCCTCGTGAGTCGTGACATACTTATTCCAGTTTAAACAACAACAGCATTCACAAACATGGTAGTTCGAGCAAGACCGCTATGGACATGTCCCGAGATGAAGCTGCCCTAGCCCTAGCCACTTGTGGACTCGCCTGCTCGGATCTTTCTAGGTTCAATGTGATGTGGCCCTCAGGCACATTGCCAGGAAAGTGAGAATCCTGGCAGACTTGGCACGCGCACAGCGCTTTGCTAACAGTAACACTCAAAGCCGGGCTGGCCGTTGCTCTCCCATCTTCCATGACCGACTGATTCCTGTTTCAAGCTACATACCAGATCTGAGTCTCATGCAACCGGCTTCCACAGCTCACTGTAAGCTGGGACGAGAGCAAGGACACTGTCTCGTTGGGGGATATGTATGGTGCTTCCTCGTCCAAATCCAAGGAACCTGGCCAAGATGTGGTACCAGTGTAGGAACACATATTGCGCCGATGCAACCAAGAAACACAGGGTCGTCGCACAGTCCAAAACCTCGCCAGCATACGTGAGATTCTTCGTGCAACGTCGCGGACAGACACAACCAAGTTTCTGACCTGCCTACTTGAATAACTGCCTGTATGGCTAGGCTCTTTGGAACTAGGGTCCATCCGGCATATGCTTCCTGACAGGCCCAGCCTGTGGACGTTGTTTCTCAGTGCATGAAGGAATGCTGGTTGACCGCAGAGCCTTGTAAACCACAGGGACAAGAAACAGATCGGAATGGCTTTTTGACTCAGCATCTGGCCGCAGAAGCGATACGTTGCCGGACACTCAACAACACCTGCACACTGCTGAAAAAGTGCAAGTGCAACTTCGTAACTGCCCTCCACCTGCATGGGAGAAATGGCAAGGTCCTCAACAGTTCGCGGCGAAGCGCCGTCTACACTCCATTGACATGGTCTGGAGCTGGAAGGAGAACATGCATAACTTCTGCCAAGCACGTGACGGGTGTCGCAGCTGCTGAAAAACCAACTTCTTCGATGGATGTCGCCTGGCATTGGCAAAATGCGAGACGCTCTGAGGCACTGTCAATGAAATTATTTTTTCTGCCTTGGGATTTGCACCTGCAGCCGGCGACTGGTAGTACACCCCCTCAGTCTCAACGAAGTGGCTCCAAGTGCACTGATTTTTGCCATCAATCCCGGACAACTGTGGAGCTGGCAAGCAACATACACACACACAGACAAAGGCCATGGTACCTGCCATGCCGCAGGTTATGCCAGAGTACATGGCATCAGACGGTCATTCACTTCCACTGCACGCGGGCCTCTTGATCCTTTCATGGCCATGCACACCCTGTCCATGCCAAGAATTTCATCTACAACCAACACGTTCTGTTGTACGCCCGTGCCTGATTAGCAGCGTCGTGCCGTCGGGTGAGTTCGGCACAATATGGATTGGATTCACCTGGCAACCATTTCAACCACACAAATCCCACAGCTGATTATTGGCAGAAACGCCGTCCTGTACAGTCGTTGCCCAATGAATGACATGGCTGCGACATCAGGACCTTGGCACAGGCCAACAGTCATGCCCCTGACCAGTCATCCCACATGTTCCAAAGGCTTGCGATCTCCACTCACGTTGCTGAGCCTGAGACAAGCTAGTAACCAAGTGCGTGACTCGTATCGGATGAACAACTGGTCCTCGTGGGACACGTACAACTGTGCAGGAGATTGTGCTGAGTTCAAGCGCTGCCAAGTTGAACCGGGCCACGCCCTGCGAAATGCAGATCGCCAGTTGATAGTAAGCTGGTCAGCTCGCAGAAGGGTTCGAGCTGAAGAAGGCTACTTTGGAGGCATTGGCACAGCAACATTCATTGCCAATGTCACAACGCAGCATTCCCCATGGGCCCAAGATGTGCATCAGACTCCCCTAACACGTGCCGCACTATGGTGCCAGAGTCCCACCGAAATGCAGGTACGAGGAACTGTGGCATGAGTTTGGATACGGACAAACGAACTGAGAAAGAGCTCACGATGCTTGGCGGAGGAACACGATACCACAAAAACAGCACTGCATGTGGCACATAACCAAACCAAACCAAACCACCCAACCCACCACTGTCCTGGTATTATTATTTAGCGTCACAAAAATGCGACGGTGGATAAAAATGCGAAGACGCTCGTGTACATACGAATCTCAAAGCCGACACTCTCGTAAGCACCAAACATCCTCCAAAGGGAGTGTGTCTTCCGGCAAGACTCGAGTGTGAAGATCAAGTTGCAGATGGAAGCTCCTTTTCTCGCCAAAGCTGTACCAAAGAGGTTGGATCACCATTCGTTTGCGGAAAATATGACAATGGAAAACTTGTTAACGGTGCACGTCTGCAGAAAAAAGAAGCAGCCCAGAACTCGACGGTCGGAAAGCAAGCGAAATGATTCAATTGCACATGTTTGATGTCAACGAACACCAGCTGCTGACATCTGGTAGTTACTGTCCAAAACTGGACAATGCGCAAGAAGAGGGAGAAGAACAGGTCCCATGCAAGTCAAGTTCTCCGAAGTCTGGGAAACACCGGTGCAGCGCAGCAGCAGCAGCAGCAGCAGCAGCAGCACAAAAACGACGACGGCTTGCTTCAAGCGGAATCCATGAAAAGGATCCCCCAACGCTTTGCAGAGTTGCGGCTTGGCTTACAAACAACCCTAATGCAATGTTCTCACTGCCTGGCAATGACGGAGAGTGGAAACCTTCCATCGCATATTTCCATTCCAGGCACAAGCACGTCTTTGAGCTTATGACTGCCGTTGCGAGCGAATCACACAGGCGCATGCAAAAGATTGAAATATTAGCTTTTGGCACGGGCCTCATGGAAAGGTTTAAGACTTAAAGATGTCTAGAGCTTCACGTTGGCTCTGAACTCTGTGTTCGAATCCGGGTTCGGGGAACTCTGTGTTCGAACTCTGGGTTCGGGGAAGTCAATACTCGAACTTTAAGTCGGAAAATATGTTCGACTCAATATTCGAACTCTGGGTTCGGGAAACTTTATATTGTAACCCTGATTCGCGAACTCTGAACTCTATATTCCAACTTCGGTTCGAGGAACTCTACATTCGAACCCTGGATTCGACAAACTCAATATTCAACCCTGGGTGCGGAAAACTCAATATTCGAACCCTGGGTTCGAAAACTCTAGGTTCCAATTCAAGAAAATCTGAACTCTATGCTCGCTCCGGGTTCTAAAAACTCTTGAACTCTGGGTTCGGCGAACTCAATGTCATTATACGAACTCTAAGTTCCAAAAACTGAATATTCGAACTTTGGGAACTCACAATTGGGAGAAATTAACCCCTCTGCCCCTTTCCACCCACTTTGCGCTCTTTACTCCTCTACGTTTACTCCCTGCTCCCACCCACCAACTATACGGAGAAGCCACACGAGATTGCGAAGATTCACGACAAAAACATGTAACAAGGAAACTACAGTTTGCGGGGCACAATGCTTCGCGCCGCCTCTTTAATGCAAAAAGAAGCTACCAGCGCGCGCGAAGACAGAAGCCATTTCTCCAGTCTTCTCGTGTGAGGTGCTGTAAACAACCTAACCTCTTCTAACAGCTTCGAACGCTTGTTTGGTATTCTTCGCTTTTGCCACCTTCGTGTGGCTTTCTCCTTTTTTGATAGTATTTTAGAAATACTGGTATAAATTGTAAATCTTCTTAGTGTTCGTAGCATTGTAGGCTAACCAGATGCATGGCACGGCATGCCAAAGCAGGTGCCATGTTTTGGCACAAGGTTTTGTCCGGTAAAAGTCAGAAATGGGTCGCGGGCATCAATGGAAACAAACCTGAGACAGCAAATGGTGCTCTGCTTTGCATCCAACCATTTTAGCACAGCACTGCCGAGCTCACCTTGAGTTCAAACACTTGGAACGGAAGTTGAACTCAGAGTTCAAACACCAGTTCGAACCCAGGGTTCAAACACCAGTGCTCGAAAGGGTTCAAACACCAGTGCTCGAACCCTGCTAGTACTACTTATTCTATCACTCCTACAATCTAATACCATTAATGCTATTAATGCTACTAATACGATCACCGGTGTTGGAACTTAGACGAACACTAGTGTTTGGACTGAACACTTGAACTCTACGAACACTACTAATACTTTCACTTACGACTAATACCCCTAATACCACACTTTCAACACTACATTTGCTACGATCTAAAAACCACTGTTGAAACTATTGACTAGCAATGCAAAACCCGCACATATCGGAGCCTTAACTCCGACCACGTTGGTTGCATCGGGTCTTGCTTTGTCAAGGCTTTCTGTCACATGACAAACTCCCAGTAAATCGTTCTTTTTCAACTCTCTGGCTTTTCAGTTTCCGGTTTTGTTGCCGGCCAGTCAACGAAGCCCGGCAGCTTACGGAACGGTTCTTTGGGTTTGAAGTGAAGGGATGCCAAAGCTGCTTTGGATACATCGAACCGCATTTGGAGACCACGTAGAAGCAGCATTGTGGCAACCGGAGAACAAGAACTCTGAGTTCGGAAGCGGAACTCAGTTTAAACACCCCTGGTTGGTTCTTTCCGGGTCCTGCTGCTGGTCCCTCCACCCCGAAGTTTAACCCAGGTTCGAATCTCTTCGACCCCCTTCCAGGGGGGCGTCGGTGCCACTTTTAAAAAGAGGGCGCAACAAAAGAACAAAAGTAAAGACATGAAACAAACAAAAGCCTCTTGTGAACGGTTGCAGGAGAGTTACGTTTCTCTTGTCCACGAGGTCACTGCCAAGATGGCCGCGCACACTAAGTCATTCCTGGCGGAACCAGCGCCAGAAATTGGCTTTTCTGCACGCTCAGAACGCTGAACACATGGCAGACGCAGCCGGCTGGAGGCGCTGCCTGCTTGATGTACTCTAATAGGAGCGGCGGTGCCGTCTTGTGGAAGATGGCTTCCTTTTTACCATGTTCTTTCCGCATTGGGAAACAGGGTGGAACGTCGACCGGCGTCGCCTCCCTCTTTCGGCACTTACGCACTTAACTTGGGTGCTTGTGCCGGCCATCCCGCCATTTTGAAAATGCATCAGGATGCGTTGAATGAGAGGCGACGATGATCGAAGATCTTCTCTCCCCGGGGTTTGATCCAGGTTTGAACCTGGGTTCCCTCCTCCCGAGGGGGGGAACAACAAACCTGGGTTCAATCTTGGATTTGAACCTAGGTTTTGACCTGGGTAAACCTGGGTTCGAATCTGGGTTGAACTCCAAAACCCAGGGAAACCCCAGGTTCTTGCCCAGGTTTGGAACCCGGATTCAATGAACCTAGGTCAAAAATCCAGGTTCAAACAGGGTTAAGAACCCGCTTTAAACCGAGGTTTTAACCCAGGGCTGAACCTGGGTTTGAATCCAGGTTTGAAACCCAGATTCTAACCCAGGTTTGAAGCACCAGATTTCACCCAGGTCAAAACCCAGGTTAAAACCAACCCAGTCGACTCTCCACGTCTTTGAAGCCGCCTGAAACTCAAATCCAAACTGTACAAAGATTAAAAGAACGTGAACAAACGCCTTCAACACAAAAAGCAAATGCCACACAAAATCGAAACTCAAAAATTCGTTCAGCGGAGTACAAAGCTTTCTGGGGCCTAAACCGTAAACCTTCAACTCCAAATCCAGACCGTGCAAATCGAAAAATTCAGAAAAAGAACATTTTTTGGCATGAGCGGGCCAAAAAGATCAATTGCTGCACTCGTTCCAACTAGAATTAGAAGCAACAAGAATGCAAATTACAACTTAAAAACTGCACAATGAAGAAACGTCCGTCACAAGAAAACGGAGTCTGACAATGCTGGCGGCGGCGGTCATGCGCACCAGAGTGTCGTAGTCGAGCAAGGAACATGGACTTTTGGATTTTGGTGTGCACGATCGTGACGGAACAAAACACAGGGGTTGTCCGCTCTCAAGACTAAAACAGTAACAGGAGCCTGGACTTCGCTCCACCTGTTGTTTTGGGCAGCTCTGAGCGACGGCTCTTTGTTGCTCCTGACCGGTCACTGAGGTTTTAGTTTCGCTTGTTTGAGAGACCGAGTACGTAGTCGACGCGAGGCGCAGTCAGCCAAAAAAGACTGCTGCTGCAGAAAGGCATCCGGGGAGTGGTCCGGGTTGCCGCTGATACAACCACTCCATGTTGTCCGGACCACGAGCATGGTCCACGCCACCCGTTTGGATCCTTCTTTGAGTGCGTGCCTATCAGTGTTTGGCGCAGTTGCCGTTGCACTGGAACCAACCTCGCAGCCACGGGAGCCAGGCTCAAAATGCTGGAAACACACATTAGGCGTTGAGATCAGAGGTGATCTTCAATCTTGGCCTTGTCAGTTTGCCCGTCTGCACAGGTCGATCTCTTTTGGCCTGAGCGGGCCTCGTCGACTACGGCTGTAGCACTCGGTCCCTACAAACAAACAGACTACAAACAAGCAACAAAAAACTGCAAAGCGGTGAGACAAAAGCGAAGCTCTACAAGAGCTGCGGCGCACAGGCTTTACCGGTGTTAGCCGTTCAACCCATTTACGGAGCCTCAGCGACCGATCAGAAGCAACAAAGAGCCGTCGCTCTGAGCTGCCCAAAGCAACAGGTGGAGCCAAGACCAAGCTCCGGCCGCCGTTCTAGTCTCGTCAGACAACGGGCAGCCCCTGCGCCTTGTTTCGTCACGGTCGAGCACACCAAAGTCCAGAAGTCCAATTCGCCGGAAAGAAGGTTGGATGCGATGCTTCGCCAGTGCGCTTCTAGGATTTCGCAAAGTCTGGGACTGATCAACAATGACCGGGTCTACAACCTCGTCAAGAGCAACATCCGAGAAGGGTTGTCAAACATCGCCCAACCATCGGCGCAGGCAAACAATTCTCGCTGCAAGAGCTTTAACTCTTTCCGACCTTTGAGTTGGATCGAGTTCTACGACTTTGTGTCAATGTACCCAAGGCAGCTCTTGATCGAGCATAGGCGGTCCAACACATCGGGACGCAAACTGGTGCCCTTCTTGGGCATCCACGAAAAGGAAGCGGTTGACTTGAGATACCTAAAGTACATCATGGAGATTCTTGGTGTAAGAATCTTCGACTTCCACTAGTGCAGTTTCAGTGTGCTCCTTTTATGAAGGACTTCGTTGGCGGCATCTTCGAGAACGTAAGGACTTGAAGCGGGCTGGACGAGTTCTGCAGTCGTCTGTGCAGAAACTTACGATGAATATTTAATTTGGAAAATTTGTTCAAAACCTTGTCGCCAATCTACGCGCACAGTGGGAAGCTCCTGGTGTGCGTTAGTCCGGCAGTGCAACGCACAGGACGTTCCAAGTTAACGGGTCTCCCAAGACAGAGTCTGAGCCATTGCAAGAGCGGAGGTTAGACAACGGACATCGACGTATGTCGACGTGCTGGCAGCCCAACACGACGCAACCAGTCAGGGTACCGCGCAAGTGACCATTATTCTCTGCGTCTTGTTTATAAATGAGATATATGAAAAATCAATCACAAATATATTTGCGAATTGATAATCAAATGCGGCAGGCAACACTCGGACACAGTCTTCGTTTTAACTCGCAGTGGGAGCTGACAGATCGGTACCTTGCGAGGCCCAACGGCAGGGTTAGGCCATAAAGAACAAGGAGTGAAACTGGCAAAAGGAAAAAGGCGAAAAGCCAAAGGGTGAGGAGGGTGGGCGAAAAGCGAACTGAAGCCGAAAAGGCAACTGGAAAACAGAGCTTGGCAAAAGTTCAGCATGAAAAAGGATGGAAAACAACCAAGGTTGGAAAAACCAAGTTGTTGAAAACAAGACTTGAGAATAAAAATCCGTCCTCCTTCGGAGGAAGTTCTTCTTATTCTCTGCGTCTTGTTTATAAATGAGATATATGAAAAATCAATCACAAATATATTTGCGAATTGATAATCAAATGCGGCAGGCAACACTCGGACACAGTCTTCGTTTTAACTCGCAGTGGGAGCTGACAGATCGGTACCTTGCGAGGCCCCCCCTTGAAGAGAACCGCAAAGATCGGTCAGCAAGGATTGCACATTAAAGCGCCGCCTGGAAAAGGCGGGAAAACTGTGGTCGCCCCGCGAAGGGGCATCTGCAGGATTGCTTTCACTGCGAACACGCTCGAACCAGATCGCAAGATCACGCTCTTCTTCAGCCTGAAAGAGGCGGGAGAGAAGAGACTGCACGAAAGGGCAATCGGATTGTCCTCGGATGAGAGCCGCCAGTGAAGCTTCGTTGTCAACGAAGAGCACAATGTCGCAGTGGCGCAGGCTAGGGATTAGGGTGGCACCCAAGACCGCGGCAAGGGTTTCTAGCTCGTAGATCAAGGTAAGTTTACCATCAGGGTTGATGATCTCAAGGTCCTTGGAGGTGACTACTTCACTAAACCAGGCAAGGCACAGACCCTTAAAGTCGTAAACCAAACCACCAAGGCCACCCCCCTGATCGTCGTAGGAAGCGTCAGTGTACACGTGATACACTTGTCGAAGACTCGAGTCTACACACCTTGGTTTGCCAAGAACTACACGGTCCCTCAAGAAAGTCAAGGAGGCCCTTAAGCTAGCACCAACCACAAGTCTGCCGTGCTTTTGACAGAAGTGCGAAAGGTTGCGCATGTGAAGCGAAGCTGATCGTCCAAAGATTTGACTCTCGGCAAACAGGAGTCGCCCTCGTAGAGAGAGAAGCTCATTTTGGCCAACAAAGCCTCGGGTCAGGACCTCATCGATGGATGAGCAGAGTTCGCGTTTGCGGGCCTCGGTGTTCTGGACTGAGATCAATCCATTCTTAGAATCAGCCAAGGATATTTGCACTCCTAAGACTTTGGCTACTGCATCAAAACCACTGTCTTTTTCGGAGGACGTTTCCCAGGCAACGATCCTGAAAAATGTTGACTGGACTAAGTCAAGATGTTTTTGCTCGTCGGACGAGCAGGGTAAGACGAAATCGTCAAAATACAGAGACCATGGCAGGATCAGGCTCCGGACTCCGATCCACCAAAGGCCGAAGGCAGTTCTGTAGAATCCCTGAACGGCCGGCTTGCTGCCGAAGGGCAGCACAACTGTCTGGTATATTTCAATTTCCATGCTGTGAGGGTTAAGCACAGCTATGAAAGAATCATACAAAGCTTCAGTGCTTAAAGGAAGTTGCTTATAGGCCTTTCTAAGGTCTATCGTCCTAAGAACAAGTTGCTCGCGCTTGCCAAGTTTCCGGGCCGACCTGATGCGAAGGCACAATGCTGCGACCACAACGTCCACCCCGTGAGGGCAGATCGTCTCGCTAGCACTGTTTGTGAGATTAGCAAGAGATTCCGTGTAATCATCGATTGGTCTCACCTTCTTGATTGACCCTAGCTTGGCATCGGTGGAGGATTGCACTATCCCAAACCTTCTAGTGACTATGGCATCCGGGGGGATGTCCGATTCCTTAAAAGGTCCTTTAAGCCACCCTTTCGCAAGCTCATCTTTCGTAAGCTGGTAAACACTTTCAGCCACCTCGCGGTCGAAACCTTCTCTGGTAGAGGCAAGGATGGCCTTCCTGGCAAGGGGAGTGGCTGCACGAACATCCTCAACGGTAAGCGAGGCAGCGGAAACCTTAGAGGGAAGGACTCCAGATGCGGGTATGGGGCCTAGAAGGTTAAACCCAGTTGAGATGTCCTTGGTCAAGGTTGTGTCCGGGTACTCGGCCTCAGTCAAGAGCGATTTGAAGACCTTCATAGATTTCTTACCAAGAACTGCGGCACAGTGGTCGGGCATGTCGGAGGGATCTGCACGGGATGCCGCCTCCTCGGAGGTAAGCATCCACCTCCTCAACGTAGCAGTGCGTTCCCTGGCAAGGTCGGCAGGTGACTCCTGGGCGCATCGCACAATGGTCTCTTTTAAAATCTTTGGCACACCATTTTCGATACGCCTGGGGTGTAGAGCTCCGCGAGCCTGTTTGACGAACTCTTCTGGGGTCCACGCGATACCATAAGTTCGCTCCTCATGCGGGGCTGCGCCAAGAGAGTGGCCATCGCCAGGCTTCGAACAGGCATCAAGCAGGGCGCCAGGTTTTAAGGAGTCGTCCACAGGGGAGGAAGGGGCTAAACCCGAACTATCAGAAGGGGCTAAACCCGAATTATCAGAACCAAGTTGTCGAGTAGCACTGCAGGGACCCCCAGCAGACGGCACAGTGCGAATCAGCTTGGCGGTCTTGGGTAGCCGCTTTAAGGAGGGCTTGCACAAGACTTTATCAGGAATGGCCCAATCTTCCGAGAGTTGCTTCGGGGGCATAGCACAAGAAGGGCCAGTGACCGTGATGATGGACTTGTACTCAGAGACCAAAGGCGGAACACGTTTGCCTTTGGGTTGCTTTCCGGAGGCAACCTGAGCGGCTCGTGCCAACGGGAGCCCAAGCTCCTGAAGTTCTGCTGCTGGAAACCGAGCACCCTGGTGTTGCAATTCAACAGCAAAGGCCCTTGCTACCATGGCACAAAGCTGACCAGGGGACGAAGACAAAGGCAACGCCGGATTTGGTGGTTTGCATCCCCCTCCACACGGAAAGCTAAGGCTTGACAGTGCAGGGAAGTTGTGAAGCAGGCGCCTATGCTGACACAGCCCGTCGTGCACGAAGCAAGGACTGTAGTGGGTGGAGATTTGCGGACAGGCACCCCGGAGGTCACGAAGTTTCCAAAGGTTGGAGCTGCACGGGGCGTCAAGGCAGCAAAGAAGACCATTGGCGCAACACTCCGTGTAAATGCTTACTGCAAGGTCACTGAAGTTGGAAGGAGGTGACATGTGCACAGCAACAACATTATCCTTCGAAAGGATGTCTCGCAAAAGCGAAATGCCACTGTCAGTGGAAAGATCCAACGGAACAACAGGAGCCCGAGTGTTTCGGGGATGACGATTGATTGCAAAGCCTTGCATGCCGAGGCTGCGCACAGCCGCACACACACCACCATGCCTGGCAAAGATTTCAAGGAATGCTAGGTCACTCGAGGGACGGTTAGAGATACGCAGTTTAACTCTGTCCAAGAAGGGTTGCACAGTTGGCGGAAGAGGCTCCAGCACAGGAGCACCATCGGTACCACACTCAATGGAAGGCAAGGGCACACCCAAGGATACAAGAGCACTGCGACAAGCCAGAGGCATCGACTCGTGTCTAGCAACCGAGAACCCGACTACCACTACGCGAGACCCCAAAAAAGGCATTGTGCAGTGTCTGTGTTTCCAAGCATCGAAAGTGAGATGACTGAGGGAGACCTCGTGCAGCTGTCCATGAAGTTGGGCACCTGAAGGATCGGTCACTGGATGAGGTCCCTCTCCCTCGAGCCAAAGTTGGCCACCTGAGAAGGAGTTGACCCCAATCAACAGATTGGGAAGGTGCGCGTTGTAGCTGTCGCGATGCAGGGCTGTCTGCGAGTCGACAAAGAGAGCAGCACTGGTGCACTCGAAGGAAGGACTGATGGTTCTGATGAAAGCAAAAAGCAGAGAAGACGAAAATGGAAAGGATTTTACATTAGATCGAAGGGCCGTGATACCACCTTTGGTGTACAGACCCGTGGTCCACGATTGACCGGCACTACCTAAATCCCGAGAAGGCTGAGGAGCATCAAAGGGAAGAAGTGTGGAAAGATGCAAAACGTCCTTGCGCGAAGGAGCGGTGCCAGATGTCAATACACCCAGCGAAAATTCCTCGGCCGGATGTTTAACCTCGGCAGAAGCATCAACCTCGTCAGGCAGCAAAGGAAAAATGTCATCTAAGATGGGGATAGGGGAGCTTGCACAAGGAGCCGGTACCTGAGGTGCCTCGTCAGTGCAGGTCTCCCCGGACTCGCGCGAGAGTCAAGAAGCAGAAGCTGCAGGGCATTCGAACTGGGGGCGAGGCTTCTCGCAGCGCATGCACAAGTGAAGACCGAAGCGACAAGCTTTGCCAGCCTCAGCATGGCTGCACCCCCTGTCTTTGATGTTGTATGCCCAACAAAGTCGCTTGCCTTTCGAGGTCTTCTTCTTAAGGTTTGGAATGTTCTTGAGGGCATCAGGAAGCTGGGACTCTTTGCGAGGCTGGCCTTCAGAGTCCCTCTTGATACCTTTATCAAGGCCCTTACCATTGCCCTTATCCGGATTCGGGATCTTCTGAGGAGGATCAGGCGACCTCAAAGGAAGGAGGTTGAACAGGACAGCAGGGTCAGTGCGAAGACCCGGGAAGGCAGCATCAAGAGGCAACACGCCGGCACTATCCCTCTTAAGCGTCTTAACCGTCTCAGCCAACTGAACCCAAGCCTGACGATCAGCCCTCAACAATTGCTCCATGGAAACTTTGCTGCACCTCGGAGGGGGAGGCTGAGCCATGCGATCGAACAGAAAGCGGTGCCAAGATTCTTGCACCTGGAAGCTGATGGCACCCATAAGGTCACAGGCTAAGCTCCGACGTGTAAGAGCCTGCCAGAGCTGAAGTTCATTGGTGATCTGGCAACGATCACGACTCTGCTGATCACGAACAGTGAGCTTGGTGCCCCCATCGAGCACGATCTCACGCTTGGGCTTTTCTCTGCAAACCTCCTGTTGCCTGGTGATGAACCTATGGGGCTCCAAGTAAATTGGCGAGTCGGCTTCAAGCATGGAGCCCACAAGAGTGTAGCAGGAGTATGCGCACTCCATCGCGCCGGTTAACTCAAAACCGACAAGCCTGGTCTTTTGAGCGGCAATGCGGCTGGTGCGTTCAGCAGGCGGGAGGTCGTACTTCTTGTCCCCCTCATGCCCTTCGACTGAGAGCTTAAGTTGCTGCACAACACAAGTCTGGCACTCAAACACACAGCGTCGAATGGATGATAAGGCACCAACTGAAACAGCTTCAGGAGTGGCAGTATCCAAAAGCTGACGAAGGGCAAGCTCCGTAGGCTGCACACCCGGGGTGGTGACAGCATAGGCCAATGACGACATCGTCGAGACACCTTTCCCTTTCAGGATCAGCAGCTGTGCACTTGAAAGGCCACATTCCGTGGCAAGTTCTTCAAATGCCGCCTCAGATTTCAGCAGGGACATGGCTGATACTACACGATCCTAGAGCCCAAGCTTCGTGAACGATGCGATGGCTCCGAAGAGGAAGTGGCGAAAAGCCACACAAATCAGCAGCAACTCTCGAGACTGCTCTCGAGTAATGGGTGACAAACCCATGCTCCGAAGAGGAAGTGGCGGAAAGCCACGCACTTTAGAAGCAACTCCCGGAAGCAACTCCCGAGCTTCTGAAAGATGGGTGTCAAACCCATGCAGCGGGAAGCCGCTCATAAGAAGATCTCTTCAAGATTCAAGTGAAGTAATACTTCGCACAAGAAGAAGGGTGACAAACCCGACCATGAAGTCGCACCGGTCAGTGGAAGCGGCGGAAAGCCGCGCGCAACAGTCAGCATGCGGAGGCAGATGAGTGACAAACCCAGTCACGATTTCTTTTCTCAGCAGCCGACAAGGCGCGTCAGGTTTAGGCAGAGAGGTGCCCAACACATTGCCATTTTTCCTTCTGAAGGAAAGTTAGCACAGCACGTTAAAAGAATTTTCTTGACTCCGAAGGCCCAGCGCACTGGGATGTCAACGCTTGCCCAAGGCAGCATCAAGCGCACCGACAAGGGCGCCGGTGTTGCTAATCGGCTTTCTCTGAGCGCATTGCTTGCAATCCCAAGCGGTGATCTTGACCAAGGTCCTGAAGGGGCGATGGTCTTTGGTGAGAGGCCTGCCACAGACAAACTTATCATCGCTCGAGTTTTCAAGCATGCGATGCACAGTCTTTGTCCTGCAATGCTGGTAAAGCTTGCATCCCTCCACGACGTGATGCCTCAATCTGCATGCTAAGTCGCTTGCTGCCTGGACCTTTTCATCAGCACTTGTAGAGCTCGAAGAAGAGCTGGAACTCGAGCTCGATTCAGAGTCTGAACCGCTGCCATCTCGGTCCCCCTCCGCATGGGGATCATCAGAAGCCCCCGTTTCGGGCGGAGGGTCTGAGAGACCCCGGGGCTCAAGCTCACTGCCACGGCTCGCGTTGATGAAAGCATCGACGTCGGCATCCTCCAGCTCTTGGTTGCGGTACCACGCCAACTCCTCATCAGGGCCAACCTCGCTGCCCATGCTCACAGGCTCTTGGACCTCACCTAAGGCGCCGAGGTAGAGGTCAGGGCTGAGGGCCCCATCAGAGAAACCAGGAAGAGCATCAAGGGCCGGCTCCACTCCTGGATCATCGACTTGACGGACAAAGCGGCCAGAGCGTGTGCAATCAGGAAGGAAAGCTCCAGACCGAACGTCACATAGAAGAGACCACAGCACTCTCAAAGGCCCAGCCTGAAGATCTCTGCTGTAAGTGGCTACGCTTTTGCTCTTAGGCATGTGATGCCCAAGAATGGCCCTGTCATCCTCAGAGCCGCCCCATTTGGCCAACCAAGGAAGTAAGGTAGACTTTGCTGTGTGGCCGGTGAAGTGACCTCCGAAGAAGGGGAGATCCTTAAGGATGCCATTGATCCACACCACGAAGGCTTCATTCTTGATTGGATGGTTGAGCAAGGAGCCCACAGACGTGGGCACACACAACAGCGCGGAACCATCGTCCTTCTGAAGAAGGTCTTGATCCACTTGCCGTGCAACCTCCAAGAAGTCAAGCCCCCAGATGCGAGGCCCCAGTCCTTTAACGTGAGCCACAAGAGGCAACCTGAAGCCGAGCGCATTGCTAAGAGACTTAGTCTTATGGCTATAAGAGTAACACTCCAAAAACCCTTCGGCGCAGTCTGCAGATGGCTCTGCAAGGTCAAGCGTGAACCTTGACACGGACTTCAAGTCGCCTAACCTCGCCCTGGAGAAAATCGCAAAGAGCATGCAACCAGCGGCAAACCGGTCCAAAAGAGCATTGGATTCGGATGCAAGGAAACCCTCGAGGTCAAGCACTTCTGCAACGAGAAACGAGCGAGCCTGCTTCCTGGGAGGCTTGTTCAATCTCTCGCGACGAGCACGTCCTGTCAGGACCGGGTCAGACCGGAGAGGCTCATTAATGAAAACACCAAGGACATAGATCGCAAAGTTGAAAGACTCAAGGTTGCTGGACACTGATCCATGCCCTTTGGTCTTCACTGCAAACTCGGTGTATTGCCGAACAAGATCCGAAGAAAGGGGGAAGCCTATGCATCGTGTGTCGTTGCACCAAGTGACGTACTTGGATAATTGCCCGTACCTTTTCTGGAGGGTAGACAGGGCTTTACCCCCAAGTGCATCCGAGACAAGTTGCGTTCCCTTCTCAAAAGACTCCTTGGCAAGTATCCCCCCTAGCCTAGAACCCGAATAAGAGTGCGAAAGCAACACATGGAACCTCTGGCAAAGCAGCTCACGTTTATCAAGAGGGCTGATCGGAGCCTTCACCACTCTGACCTTTTGAGAAACGGCTTTGAAGAAGCTGCAGGATCGAGGCTCCGGCTTTGCGAGCTTCTCCGCTTCACCCAGGCTCGAAGCCGAAGAAATGGGAATATCAAAAGGAAATTTCACTGACGGAATGCTTGGGGCAGCATGCTCCGGGCAGAATATCTCCTTAAGAATGCCTGACTCCCAGGGCAGCTCCAGATCACTGGAGCCAGCGACACTGTGTCTGGACTCAAACAGCATACGATCTATGCTCTTAAGAAGGTTAGAGCGAGCCCCTGGGCCTGATGATGAAGCTGAAGTCGAGGAGCCCCCAGCAGAAAGAGACTGAGGCTGCATGTTG